GGTCCAGACGCTACGTTTTGCCTAACCTTTTGCCTGCACAGTTCAACACGGAACACGTTGCAGATAAAACGTTGCGTGTAGATTGGATAAGTGTGCAGAATTGAATCCAGCGTGAAGACGATACAGTTGCAGCGATAACTGAGCGAACGAGATTATATATCCTTGAATTGCACGGACAAGTCGGCACACGTAGACAGTAGCACCGTTTTTCGATTCATTTTGTTTCTCAGTTTGGTCAGGCGACAATGGTTGACCTTCGGCATTGTTCTCGGGACTTTTCTACACAATTTCTTGCATTATACGAAATTTTCTCATGCATTTGGTGTGTCAAATCCAAGTATTGTGACAGAGATAAAAAGGGGAGGCTTATGAGAGTTTAGTGGAAGAATTCAAAGAAATTGATGCAACTGCAAACTGTTGACCACTTTGAACATCGAGTACTTTGAGACGTTCCAATCTATTCTTTCAACGAGACACCATGCCAAAATTGAACACAGTACCTTTTCCATAACGATATCACACAAAACTGAGCGAAATATACAGATATCTCTGCACGATGTAAACGCTGTAAAAATTTCAACGTTTTCATTTCTTGCTAAGACTGCGCAGACAAAAGGTTGTGCAAAACGTAGCGTCTGGACCGGCCTTAAAATACGTACGCAACTTTTCTGTTTCTTCGGAAAACGGTAATATATAGCACTTAGTACGATGCTGCGATGAAGAATTAACTACTTCCCAAGATGATTGTCAAAGTTCCTGTGCTGCTGATTTTGGAAAACCTTATGATATGACCAAAAAGAGTATGAGGTCTATCGAAATCAAATAGTACAAAGTGTCATTTCTGGAAAGAGGACAGTTGCTCAGCCTCCGTTCGTTGCCCTACCTGAGACCAAGCCTAGACCATGCTGAGGAGTTGCGAAATACCACGAAACAGATGTCCATGGTTGGTTGTTGATGGCCGGACGAATGATTGAATCTCATGAAATACTATGAAGTAGGAATTTACGTGCTTAGATATTAATATTCTGCAACGTGATAATCTGTACTATGACTGCACTATCAAATTATATTGCATTGTTTGACGCTGCTCGAATACTAGGTCGTTTTTTTGCCCAGCATGCCGTATAACAATGACTGCGCTAATCTGTCTGTGACTGGTGTTAAATGAAGTGAATCCAAGAAGATGTTATTCGCCAAGATGACAGAACAATAGAGGGATCCACGGTTAATAATGCAACAATCAGACTACTTTGAATATCTGCCCATTTTTTACATGCACAACCAGTGTGCCAACTTTAAAGTCCTAGGTCTCACAAGAAAGTTTTTTAATTGTTTTTGCGTCGGTGCGGTGTTTCAATATTGCCATTGACTAACGTATTCTAATCAAGGCAGCCGACCATATAATTATTTCGGCGCCCCAAAGATTATTATAAGATGAAATAAGATGGCTAATTTATGAGAATTTTTAACGACAATGTTTCTACCCTCAACAATAATTAGAAGTTTACTTTAAAAAGGTTAGTGCTTGAGCTACAGCGCCATCTATGAGACAATAGCCTTTTTAAAGTAGATTTCTAATTATCACGGAAAGGAGGAACATATATGTGACAAATTCTCATAGATGACCCCAGAATATTTCATTTCATCTTGAATAACTTTTACATCGTTGGCTTTCTTCAGGTAGAATATGTTAATACTCAATGATATTGCCTAATACACCTATAGTAAAATTCTTTAACATTAGTATTGAACTACGCCCCATATGAAGTCTGCCATAGTCGTAGAATGAAAGTTCTTCAGTGCATGCTTAGAATATGTCAAAATATTATTCCAAAGCTCCAAATAAGTGACCGGTACACCCAAACTGCTGTATCTGTCATCAGAGTCATGTCTTTTAGATTTCCCGTAAAAGAAACAACTTTCTTGTTGTTGTGCTTTAGGCACTTCCTAGATTTATTCAAAAATCGCAACGCGTTTATCGCAATTCCAATCTATAAATAAACATCCATCAATCGATTTCCCATCAAGGTTACAGAAAACATAATTAACTAATAGAATACCATTTGCTGTGCAACTTTATGTGCAGGCCAATAAAATTTAACATAACAAAAATGAATGAAGCCAATGACTTTGGACTAAAGGCGTGTAAATGCATTCGTCAGGCTGCTGGAAAAAATTAATGATTCGGGTGCATTCACCTTGCAAGCTTTTAGCAACTCATTTGGCATGTAACGGGTTTCGATCAATTTTTGCTGCTGATAATAAAATAAGCACATAACAGGTGACAGGTGCATGTTCTTTGTTTAATTAATGTTTCACGAGAATAATTTTATGAATGGCAAATAATCAGCAATTAGCTGGTTAAAAAATATTCAAGTCACTATTGTCTTTAGATTGAGAGTAAGCTAATTTGTAATCATTACTATGCAACATAACAGTTAGGTAGGAAGGATAAGTACCAGTTGTTGATCCGCTTTACAAACTAAGTAACTGCAGCTACTGAGTAGAGGCTGCGCTACCTTTTAGAATTAGGAACTTGTACTTTGGAACTACGTATCACCCACTGCATATTCACTTTAGTAGCTGTGCGTGTTTTCTAAGCGTCCCAGATACTTGAACTATGTGCTGTGGCTCTGATGCGATGTAACATCTTTTTAAGAGAAACTATATAGCTTCTGTAGCCCAAACTGTAAGTTGTTCACTATAAATCGCTCGCTATGCCATTCCTCCATAGGTGGCGTTTACAGTGAGTAAGCTGATCGCACAGAAAGGAGGCTCAAAGACAAAGAGGGAAGAACAGAACAGAACGCATTAAAAGTTCATAAATTGTACTAATCAAAAACATTTCCATCACACTATAAATTATATGCATTAAAACATCAATTCTTGGCGAATAAGTTATATAATGCAAAAAATAGCGACTTATTTTTGAAACTGTCATGAAGTCTTACTCTGTTAAGAAAACCTATGATTTTCTAGGTTACAATAATACATGCATAAGTTCATCAAATTAAACTAAGAGCCTTAGAAATACCCTTGTCAAAATAAAACTTACGACCTAGCAAGAAGCATGAAATAAAACAATGGGTATTAAAAATCTCCAATACCCCAGTCGATTTGTTAAAAAAAAATGTGGAATTTTATCAGCAGCCACATTTCTGTTTCAAACAAAATGTGGTCAAAGCATCCTGTGAATATATTTGTACAGTAATCTGTGCAAACTTATAGATGATGATTGAAAGGACTCGTATAAAAATGAAGAGCAAACCAGACCAAATATTTGCAAAATAAAGGCAAATAAAGCAGCCTAGTGATATAAATATTACTATTCTTCCTGATTCCACACACACACACTTTACCGTTTCCCGCTGTTGGAACAATCAACAAATAAATAGGTCTTGTACGCATAATGGTTCTGAAGAAAAGGAAGAGCAATTCAGAAATTCCACTGCGGGTAAAGAAGCCGTCAATGTCAGGAATTCTACTAGAGATGGGGATGTGTATATATTAGCATAGAGATGGGCGAGAAGTTCGTATTTCATGGATGGTGGAACCTTTACAACATCTGACTTGGAGCCGCCACATTCTGTGCCTCTTATAAATCTTTTTGAGTCTCATTGATTGTAGCATATACATCCAAACAATTGAGGTGCAGATGCAGGAGACAGGCCATCAGTTGTCAAACCAGTCAAGCTCAGTAAAGCGAGGTCGAAACTAAACTAAATCTAACTTAATATTCACAATATTAGTGATTTGTGACTTGATCCTCCTTGTCGGCTAGTTTTTCATGTGTCGTGTCACTCGGATAGCGATTTTTTCTTCACCAATTTGAAGCAACATACCCCTCTTTAAGTACAACCGCTCCTTTTTTTTCTATGACGTTATTTGTACGGAAAAGCTTGACAGAGGCAGCATACCTCACTTCTTCTGATAGAAGTGTATATAAAAAGATGTTTAATTTCTTTCGTTTTGCTCCATCTTTGCCTTCCCAGGTCAGTGACTGTTATAAAAAAATGTCTTGCTCATTTGTTATTATTCAGCGTTGTTGTTCTCTATCCTGAACCCTGTAGGTCTTTGACCTTTGTATATTTCTTTTCAAACATTCTTCTGATTCAAAAGCTTTTATGTATGGTAGTTGCCATTGGAATACCGGTAGATTGAAAACTCTATTCGAGGATATAAATCACACTTCTGCTTGAATTTTTCTTTTTGCAGAAAAGCTGCAATAAGGTATTGCTCCAAGAAATACCCAGGATCGTATCAAAAGCAAACCGCTAAAGTCGTCTGTTATTTCAGCGGGAATTTAAACCGTTCAATCCCGGATTTTCCGAGAGCACGAACCCGGCTTTTCCTTTTTCCATCCAGATGACATAGTGCAGCTTTGTTTTAATTTTTCGCTTCAGTCACCGCAGACGGAATAAAGATTGCTTTTCTACTGCTAATTCCAAACATGCAAACAAAGAGTTTACAGAGGATGTTTCCATGTACAGTTTGCGAAAATAGTTGATTCGCCTCTTTATAGGATACCAAGCAAGGTTAAAAGTTGCTTCATTATAAACTAAGCCTAAAATACTCTAGGGGAAGATTTGAGCCTTAGTTCAGACAGCTGATGACTTTAGACACAGTAAGTTTCAACAGAGTTTGGAAGCACTGGGTCTTTCTGACAGTGAAACACGTATAAATCGGAAATGGGCAACTTTAAGACAAGCCACTGGCGACCTTTTTTGCTCAAAATTACTGTAAAGGCCGAAAAAATGAGCGAAATAACCACCTACCCTGGGTGCATACTGAAATTTGAGAAATATTTTGCAATTCAATGATCTCGTCGATCTCTAGAAATAGCCATGAAAACTGATTTGAAAATTTTTGAAAATTAAGATTTTTCAGGTATTGGGAGCATCAAAAGTCCGTATTTCTGGTGACACTCGCTGTGAATATGTTCATGAAAAAAAAATATTATAATACCTACGCATGCTCAATCCCCCATCATAAGGCGATCCACAATTAAATTCCTGGGTATCTAATGACACATGGGCTAAAATCAGATTGCTGGGACACTGCATTTGTTATTCGGTGTTTTGAGCATCGATATAAGATAAAGAACGCACACGTCGTATGGTAAAAAAATAACAGACTTTATTGCAGGAACGAAGAGTGGTTACAAGTATTGAACAAAATCTGTCTGTGCCTCGATATAATTCTAATCTTTATAGGAAAAATAACAGAGCTGTATCGAAAAAAAGAAGTAAAAAGCAAATATTTCTTAATGGGCTTGCTTGCCATATAATTCAATTTGTCGGAATAATGGGCTTGTACCACATAGTTATGTTACCAACAGGATTCCATAACTTATATTGGGCAATGCTTCGCATATTCATCAAATTAGAGCGATGGTAATTTGGTAAAAATATTTAGCTATCGCAATATATTAGTATTTCATAAAGCTGTATGTCGGCAAGCTATTCTTCCCGTAGAATGTTGAATAACAAATAATACATTTATGCACTTTTAGAAATACCTTTTACATTCGAATTTAGAGTATAAGTAGTAGAATTAACAAATACAAGATAAGAGTGAATCTTACGAAGTAGCACAAGTGACAGGACCATTTTCCATTACATCAGAGTAAAAGTACTTCCTGCCTTACTCTAATATTAATCATCGTTACAAGAAATACATCTAGATGCTACTAGTCAAATTTCTCATTCACCATGCATCTGTTACTCGTACTGATAAAAACATTCGTTTATCTATCCGAAGAATAGGCCTGTCAATTCGTCGAATATTGTTTTTATCGTTGTCTATTATTAGTATGTGGCAATTGCGTTATTAATGGTTAACATGTTACTGTAATGAGTTTTGTTTTGATAAGAAGTAAGTTTATGATGTCTCGCACGAAACCTTCTGTTTGAAGGCTTGTACTGTTAAATCAACCTATGGTGATGATGCTCAGCTTATGAAGCCGGACGATTATTTCATCCAGCCAAAAACAATTCTGGATAAATTCTAACACCTTTTCATATGTTTCCTTATGTAGCAAAATTTCTTATTACAATAGCGATGCAATATTCAGACTTCACACTTTGCTTGAGTGAATACTACATTATTTCCAGACATTCAAAATTTCAGTCCTCTGATAATTCTGTAAGCATTTCTATGAACCCATACAAAGTATTTACGTATCGATTCATAAACTGTAACCTTCCGTAATATGGCTACAGTTGGATCCAAAGCGAACTTGGAGATAAATAAAAATGTTTACCATCCCCTAGAGCAACATAAAGGAGATGCTCCAATATTTTTTGATCGATACGTCAAGGTCTGCAAAGTTATAAACACAAAATGAATGGACCTTCACCCTCGTTCGATCCCAAACTGCCCGAATCGATGGATGTGCCGTAGACGGTAGAAGACAGTAAATTGCCCGATACATTTTCTTGAATCTGTTGTGTAACAGTTGATGTATTCTTATTCTGCTGTGCTTAATAAATATTAGAATGACGAAAAGGTTATAAAATCTCAAACGCTGTCTGACCTCATTGCAGAAAATATCTACACTTTTATTTTTACCTTTAATCCTTATATTTTTTTGCATATGTGTAAGTGTGTGATTGCCACTTGCAAAAAGAGTATCTAGCTATACGACAGTAAGCGTGATACCTCGTGAGTTCACTTGGCCTAACAATAATGTGACACCATGGAAAATAATTTAGGAACGTAAGTATGGAGATCGACTAGATATAGAAGCTAGGAAACTGGGACTATATATAAATGAAAATAAAACAAAATGGAATGGGCTGATGTTTTTAGCAAAATTGTGAAAAATTTGAAAATAGAAGCAGAAGAAGGAAAGACCTACGTTTTTGAGAAGGTGGAAAGATTAGTATACCTAGGCTCAGTAGTCACAAACAAACCAAATACCAAAGAATAAATACTTGCAAGACTAGAGGGAACCGATGTGCATATGCACTTAACAGAATCTTAAAAAGTAAAGAAATATCGAGAAATGCTAAAACTAGAATATACATAACAGTTATCTTACCAGTAGTTACATATGCTAGCGAAGTGTGGACACTGACCAGAACGGAACAGAACATGCTTGAGGTTTCGGAAAGGAAGATTTTAAGGAGAATTTTTGGTGGCAAACTAGTGGCAAACAGTGTTTGGATGAGAAGAACAACCAGCGAAATGAAGGAGCTATACAGGCATCCTAGTATAGTACGAGTAATAAAGGCGGCAGAGGCTAAAGCATAGAAAAGATGCCAAATATACGAATACCAAAAAGAACTCTGACGCACACAGCTCGCACAAAGAAAAGAAGAGAAATACAAAACAGCAGATGGAAACAGGAAGTAGAAGAGGACGTACGAGCAATAGGAATGGAGAGATGGAAGAATAAGGCAGCCGATAGAGGGAAATAGAAAAACTTCACCTCCCAAGTCATGGGTCTACTAGGCCTTTAGTGCTTCCGTATATATAAGTACGGAGATCGAGCAGGTCATAGTTTGAAGTCTGCCCGGATAAATTGAAAAGTCTTCGAATGTTTCTTTGAAAAATGTTTCGGAGATGATAGGACAAACGTTCGTAAAATAGTCCAGGGAACACCTTTTTGGTTTTTCCGTATGTCTAGAAAACGCTTGTGCCATATCTGGTTGGCAGTAAACACACTGCTGGCTGAAGCAAGGTACAGTTTAAATATTGACAATTTTCGTATGTTTCGAGGCAGGCTGTGTGCCTGCTATGTTAATAGAGACTCGGTCATATTGATCTTTTGTCAGAGAGTCGAGCCAGCGAGACTTGATCGTTGTTTACATGAACAATTCAACAAGGATGGAGTTCTAGCCGCATGATGAATGCAGAAAAGCAGTAAGTTCAAGGTATTTCGCGAAGAACCTTTGCCAATGTCGCTGAGATGAAATTCTAGTCATGACGGATTTTTATCTGTATTGTGTGACAGTTTTGGAGTAGGTAGGTTTAGCTTGGAGCTATGAGTTAACTGTGCTGTTAATAGAAATTTTTTGTTTGTTGACCTGCTTTGATTAATAATAAGGATAAAACTCAACCATATGAAGAGTATCCCAAAATTCACTCAAGATTTGAATTAAACAGAAATCACAATATACTCAGTATAGGGTCATATTCTCACCATTTAATGTCTGATAAACAGAAATCACAATATACTCAGTATAGGGTCATATTCTCACCATTTAATGTCTGAAAAAACCTAAAAATGCTCAACTTGATTAAAAATCTCGGTTAAAAAAAATTATTTTTGAGGTAACCAAGTATCTAAATCAAAGCTAAATCCTTCTCCTAAAAGACAATGAAGTATTCCAAGATAAATTTATTTTAAAGCAATTTTAAAGATAGTTTGTTAGGCCAAAATTAGCGATATTTGTTGAGAGCTAATACACATTTATCTGGAAAGATGCTCTTAGAACGCAATTGGCAACAATCAATTACTGTTCATTTGGATATAAAGAGCAAAGGGTAACTTACAAATGACAACCTTCTTTGGTGGAGTCATTTTCGCAACCTTGTAAATGTTTATCTGATTGTAAAACAATATCATGTAGTTGTAAAATATCGGACTTATTTTGTATTTTATTGTGGAAATTTATTATCATTTTTCTTATAAAATATGAATTAATTTAAATAATTATTCAAATCGCTTCATTGCATGTGCTCCACATATATTTCCTTCATTCTTAAGAGAGGAGGTGGGGGAAGAAAATAGACCGGCAATATCTGAATTATTGTTCCTTGAGCTTTTCTCATTTGATACCTGTTCAAAAGTACGGTCCTCACATTTTGCAAAAATCAATTACATCCAACACCTGCACAATATGCTCAGTCTGCAAAGATCAAAAGGTCGCTAAGTTTTGCTTAAGAAACTAGCTTAAATTAATTTTGAAATACGATTTGGAGTCCTTTAGCTTCAATTTAGATACTTGGCAACCTCAAATATAATGAATTTTAACCGAGTTTTAAATCATTGAAGATGAGCTGTTTAGGGCTTTTCAGACACTAAAACGGTTTATAGCTCGGAAATGGCTAACTTTAAAGAAGAGATGCCAAGGACTTTTCTTGTTCAGAATGACCCGAAAAATCAGAAAAAACTTTTCGAAGCGAAAAAACAATTGTTTTGTAATGATGTAAGAGATTAAGGGCAAGCTCAGGATTATTAATCTATGACTTTGATCTCTTTTCAGTTGATATCTGTTCATACAGTGCGGCATTTTGCACACTTAATTCCATCCAGCGCCTGGCCTAACGTATAATATGATGAATTAAGAGCGAAGTATTTCCTACCGCAACAAAAACAAACAGTGTATTAGCAAGTCTAGTGGCGCGTCACATTCCTACGCCAAAACGTGTCCCAAGGATGTAAACAATGTTCCAAGAATGGAAATCGAACCGCCAAGTGTTTTTTCTCCTACAAAATCCTTCGGTTTCGCTTACTTCACAAACGCCTACTCGATTTCCAGACGCGGTCGCGTTGACATTGGTCAGCAAGTATGTAGAGAAAACGCTGACTGTGTGGATAGTAATGTCCACAATGTGATACTGATAATGCCAGAATGGTCGCTTAAATGCAGCGTGTTCCAGAGAACTGCAGAAATAAACAGATGAGTCGGTTATTCATTGTAAATAAAATGATCACGGAGAGAACGCGATATGCTGCTAGTATCGGATTGTGAGACGTGTTTATATCCAGGAATTGGATGGCGTGTGAAATTAGATATTGCTTCTGGCATGTTCGTCTCATAGGTACTATTGGAGAAACATTTAAAAATGGCATCAAGCAGGCCGACTCTGCACTTTTCACGCAACGCTGTCATCAGTTCATAAATATAATGTTCAGCACAAGTTAGACCCTCTGAAAAAAAAGTTAGTTAAGAACATGTATAACAGAGAAGTTAAAAAAATCAAGTCATTCAAACATTCTTTCCTTGTCCTACCGGTAGCCCATCTGCCTAATCGCCTCTCCCCGATACCTAACCCGGTCAGACGCGGCAGCGTGGCAGTAATACCAGAACACGTACCATGACCGGGAGCAGAAGCAAACGCACATCGAAAACATTTCTCTATCATTTGTCAAATGTCGTATTAGGTGCTTAGATTGACCAAGGTTGGAAGCATATAAATATGCTTACAGCAAAAAATTGAGATATAAATTTCATCAAAAGCCGACCGGTAGTTTCCAAGTTATACAGACAGACATACCGACAAACAGATATACCGACAGACAGACCGACTGAAATGAGTGG